CCTTTTGGGGGGCTCTGACCGGATCGTGGCCATGTCTAAGCCTACCCGGTGGCTTGGCATTAACGGCCATTAGGCTCTTTGATCCGGGTACCCTAATATTGGTACCCGACACTAAGGCTTGCCTAAGTCCACGTTGTTGAGGTATGCCACTAAGGCTTGGGCTTTCCAACCCTACCTCGTTCTCAATTCAAGAGAGTGAACTCTTGAGGCGAGGGGTGATTTTACTCGCTACAAGAGATGGTTACAAACCTCCCAGGGCTACCACAAGCTAGGCAAGCTCACCGGGCGACGCTCTAGCCGGCTAGGAGCCAAGCTCCAAGAGTAACAAACACAAACACCGGCCAAAACGTGAACAAAATGCTCTTTATAGTTGGGGAATCAGTGGATCTGTTCTCTAATCGAGTTTGGCACATTTTTCTCTCAAGGGTTGATGGAGAAATCAATGGAGAAGCTTGGGAGCTCAAGGTTTGTCACGGAACCAACTAACGTAGAAGCCAAGATCGTAGTCCAGTGAAACAATCGCCGGAGCAATTAAATTTCCGTACTTAAGCTCCTATAACTCCGGTAGTCTAGTGAAATCACGAGGGATTTCAAACCAACTAACGTAGAAGCCAAGATCGCAGTGATTCAACATAACAAGTCATATGTTACATCCTTTTCACAAGTAGTTCAATATACATCGGAGTTCAATATAGTTACTACAACTCAAGTACAAAGGTAGCGGAAGCAAAGTAGTTTGAAACTAATATCACCCTTATTTCAAATACGTGCCAGTACCAAGGTCAACTTCCAACAAAAGCATTAGAGATAAGATAACTCAGAAGGATCATGTCCATGATCACACTCCGCCACTACGGCAGGAGCCATCCAATTCTTGCAGTAGCCATGATACATCATAACCTACAACAAGTGGGAATAAACCCTGAGTACGAGGGGTACTCAGCTAGGCTTACCCATCATAAACCAGAAATAATATGACACCAAGGAGTATGCAAGGCTTGCTTTTAGGGGGCTAGCTTGACTCATTTGCGAAAAGCATAAGTTATCATGAATAAACCATTTTAAGTACTTTTGCATCATCTTTGTTATAACCTGTTAATCTAGGTAAGCACCTTTGCTAAAGCAACCACTTGATTAACCATTAACATCAAAGTTACCATCTTAGGTTTAGCATTTCCAACATAATCCACCTAACCATCCATGTTCCATCATCATTACTACGATGCCGTAGCTCGAGTCAAGTGCTCACTGTCCAGGAGCGATGGCGATTCGAATCGATTCCTAACCAGCTGGTGATTTATTCCTCACACAAACCACACTCACCGATCAAGTGAGCTACAGGTCACCGATGACACTATTCCGGTAAACGTCGCGGGATAATCTGGAGCCGCAATACCCAGGGACCGTCCGACTACCAGGAATCAGGCCTCGCCTACCATTGGGCTCACTCTTCGCGCCCCTATCATACCCCCATCAGCATCAATATGCGCACCCGTGTAGATCCTGGCCCGAATAGTGCCACTGGCTTCGCGGTCGAAACGACTTATTCGGCCAGCTAAATGTGAGGCATGCGTTCAACATGACAAGAGGGACGAGCAACGATCGGTCCTTAACCGACACGGGCAGAAACTATAAGCACCCTAGAACCCTGTCTGGTTGACCACTACTTCTTCCGCCCGGTCTCCATTTATCCATCAACACTTGGTTATTTCCATGATAGTATCCATAGCTAAGTATCCAGGTAATCGCCTATATCTCGCAGGTGACAAGAAATCACCTGACTTCTACCGGTCTAAGCAGGGCTAAGCATTGACTCGATCCTGACTAATAGGGATTCAAGGTATACTTTCTAGACAAGGAAAGGATAATATGCAACAAGGGTTCCAACCAACTCCTACCACTTAATGTAACAATACATATATAGCAACATATATATACTCATTTGCTTTCATAAAGTAGAAGGCTTAGAATGCTCCGGGGCTTGCCTGGGATCCGACACAAGTCAGTTCAGTTAGCTTGCACCATCTTGGTGACATCTTTATCACCACTTAATCTGTCCTGTTTGAGCTCCAATCCACTGCTTAACTAGTGGCAAACACCTGGGGTGTTACAAGGTTGTCAATGGAGGAGAGAGAGATGAGCACTCAGTTGTGTTCTGGTCGAAAGAACCGTTGGGGAAGAAGAGAGAAATGTTGTGGAGGACAGGGAAAAGTATAAATACCCCCTGCCTCCCAACGGTCACTTAAGTGTGGCAGTGCTGCACTAAGTGCGACAGTGCCACGGTGCGGCAATGCCTCTCTCTAGGTGCGGCACTACCGCACCCACCAAGACAGTAAAGATGAAGGAGTTGTTGAGCTGGCTGTCTTGGCTGAGGTGTGAGGATGTTTTGTGTAAAGATTGAGCACTTGGTCACACATTTTTAATAGGTTGTTGTATCCCCCTTAATAGTACGGCTTTCCTATACTCAATTTCAAAAGATAAAAAATTTAAACCTCCTTGAATGAGATACCATCCACAAAAGTAATTGGGGGCTCCTTCTTTCCATGTAACATCCTCTGTAATGAATTCCCTGCTTGTCATCTTAACAAATCTCATTAGTTCTCTAATTAGGTGGTCATCAACACTAAAACCCACAATAGGGCTTTATTGCACTTACAAGCATTGATGATGGGGTTCGAGTTTTGACTCATGGCATAGTCGGTGTTGCTATTGAAAAAGACGACGGTTGTCGATGAGAGGATGTGCTATAGCCAGTCCTCAATCAGCAAGATGCTTGAGGGGAATGCCTGGGTAGCTGGTGTGGATGCCTCTGTGTGGAGGGTGACCACTATAAGTTGTGGGGTTGTCATCCCCATGGGCTCCAGCAGTTCCTGCAGCAATGGAGAAGTTGCTGATATGTAGTAGCGCCCGTTGTCGAGGATGATGTCTTCTTGGAGCGACCATGCTGGTGCCGCTGCGTTGACTACGATGGTGGCAGAGATGATCTGGAGTTCCTGTTTGTCCAGGGCGGCCAGGGGGAGCTAGGTGACGATGGCGGGGTTGATGGTGTCGCCGAGAATAGGAACTATGTTGGCTTTGTTGTCGACACGTGGAGGCAGCATTGGTGGAGGGACATAGAGCGTCGGAGTCACCGTGGGAGGGAGAGGAACCAAGGCACATGTTGTCCTCCCTGTTGGGGCGTCCCTTGCTCGTTGTGCCCCAAGGTTGGGACCGATGGCAAAGAGGTTGACCTGATGAAGCTCGCTGGCAATGCCGATCTATAGCGCGTATGTGGTGGAGTTGTCGACATAGTCGTTCAAGGTGTTAGTGTGCCCGGGCGGTGCGAGGTCGCCAGGCGTGTCCTGACAGATTGGTGGGTCAAGGTCGTAGAGGATGCCTCGGTTGAAGAGCGCCCACTCGGTTATCGATGCATCCTTAGTTGAACTGATGAGCCAGAGGTGCGTTGCGCCTATTAGATGAAAAGCCACATACCGAACTTGTTGATCTTCGGGCACGTGGTGCAGCTCGAAGAGAAGCTGCATCTGAGAGAGCCACGGTCGTGGATCTGTGGAGCCGTCGTACGTCGGGGTCGGTAGTCGGATCCTGATGGTTGGTCAAGGCTTTAGTGGTGTTGGCGCTGTTGAAGGGAGGGGGCCTGTGGTGGTGGCGCCGTGGGCGCCTGCTGCGCTGGCAGCCAGGTTGCCGACTAGAGTTAGTGGCGGCCGGCCTAGGCTGGCTGGAAGTCGGATAGGCGCACGAGGACATGGCAGCTGCGGCGACTGCAGTGCTGGCGGTGCCTCGAACCAGATGTTTGACACCTTTGTGACAATCTCTGAGGTGCTGGATGAGTGTGGTTCCTCGGATTTGTCGGTGCAGATCATGATGTGCTCTGTCTCCACTTCGAGGCTGTTGATGGTGCGGAGACGAGTGTCGTTGTCCCCAATCATGGTGGCGAGGTCGTTGTGGAGGTGGCCGACGGTGGCGTGGCTGGTTGCATCTTTGCTGCGAGGTGCAGCAGGCAGCGAGTGCGTTTCGGCGTCGGGAAGCAGCGGGCTGCTGCTGCTGTTAGTGGTGATGGTAGCCCCGACGTTGGTGATCAGAGCGTACTCATTGTCGACAATGTGGTAGAAGCCATTCCCCTGAGGAACGAACCTGCTGTTGCCGTGTGTGGTTCCCTCAGCGGTGATCTCGTTTGTGGAGTTGGTGTCGTGCTTGGTGACTGAGGAGGTTCCATGGGAAGACCCCTTAGATGCATCTATAGGAGCAAGATTGGGGCCGATTTCCGTGTCGAACCTATTGATTGTTGGTGTGATCGTCGCCGGTTGAATTGGATTTGACGGAGGAATCTGGCGGTGTTCCAACAAGCATTCGGTGGCGTGCAGGCGCTTGTCCAATTTGACGATCTTGTTGTTGAGGTTCTGGAGCAGCTGTTGCGTGTTGATGGTGGTGGAAGCCATGGATCGTCTGGTCTCCGGATACCAGGTGTAACACGTCTATTGGCTAGGGCTGGTTGGGGGTGTGGTTATGGTGGAGGAGGCTGACTGTGGGCGGCTATGGAGGATGGAGAGGTGACGGTAGGGTTTGGGAGAGGGGAAGAGAGGCGCAAGAAGAAAGAGAGGGGAAGGGGATAAGCTTTTAGACTATCTTCCACAATTAAAAAGAATAAAACGTACACATTTAACGTGGTTCATAGTCCTGGTTGCTGCGTTCCCGCAGCCTCTCTCCAACGCATGTGGGCGTCCCCTTGCGATATTTTTGGCGCCGACATGTGGCCCCGCGCCCTCTCCTCCACCCGCCTCCCCGCTCGCCGCTCTCAAGAAGAAGAAAAAAATAGAAGCCCCTGTCCCGCCCGGCTCCCGACGGACTCCGCCGCCGCCGCCTGCGCCCCTCCGCTGCCAACGCCGCAGCCCTGCCCCGCCCCCCGCGCAAGGGCTCCGCTCGGCCTAAAAAAGGAAGCCCATCCAACATCGGGCTCTTCTCTGCCGGCGCCGCCCCATCAAACCCTAGGCCAGCCGCCGCCCATGGATGATGACGACCTGGCCACTCCTCCTACCCACGGTATCTCCACCGGATCTACGAGCGGTGAGCGGGATGTCGCCTGGAAGTCGTCGTCGGGCACCGAAGAGGTGGTGGCGGCGTCCGTGGTCTTCCGCCTCGAGCACGGTGGGGAGATCGACGCTGATGGCAACCGCTCCATCCAAGGCCGACGCGCGCCAGCGGAGTCGACGAGTCCCTGCTAGGGCGCGACTTCGGTGCCCCGCGCCCTGTCTCCCAGACCTCCCAATCTTGCGCTCTCTCTTCGATCTCCTACAGCGACTACACCAGGCTCCATCAAGGCAGCTTGCGGCGGGTGGATGGCCTGAGTAGATACGTATCTCTCCTATACCTGATTTCTCGTTTATTTTCTGGTGATTTGTGTGTTCGCTAGATGGCCATGGTTCCTGCTTTTCTGATTGCCGTTGGTCTCTACCTGCATTTGTGCCTTCCTTGGGCCACATGATGGTTCTTTGTGCAGCTAAGATTAGGAAAAAATTATAATATTTAGCTTGCGTACATCCCCTGCATTTTGGATTAGGAGGTCTGTACACATGTAATCAATTGAATCCCGCCGCAATAGTGCCGGGTTGTACTGTTGTGCAGGAGATCTATGTGCAGGACAATTAGGGGGAAGTCATATTATTTAGGATTGTGTTTTAACTTTGTTTTGGACAATTACGATGGTACATACCTAATTGATTTGACTCATGCGGTCATGTTGCTGCATATGTACTGCCTCGACACCAAGATAATCATTGTGATTTTCTTGGTTCAGATGACCTGTGTTAATTTAATAATATATTTTTCCTATTACCTAGCAACCTTCTGGTTGTGCAATTTAGTAACATTTCAGCTCAAATGCAATTAACCAGTCCTACTGACGTGTACTCACTTCCTTAATTTGTCTTAGCAATTTGTGAACTAATCAATTGGGTGTGTCAACATCTTGATGCACTGTGGGGGTGCTTTTTCACAGGAAGGAGCACTAACTTATGATGGAGGTGAAGTCTGGCTTTTCAGAAATATTGAGAAGGATATAATGTCCTACTTCCATGTAGTACAACTGGCAAAAACTTAGGCTTCAAGGACAGTTTTTCTTGAGATTTACATTAAGCTGCTCCCATAATTCTTTGGTTTTTATTTAGTTGCTCTGATTTTATTTGCTCATTACCACATAAATGTATTGCAGAGTCGGCCTGGAGCAGCAGCTTTGTATATGAAGCCTTTTGTGAACTATGATAAACTTTGTGAGATTTATGTTAATGACTTAGCAAAAGGTGCCAATGCTTAAGGGCCTGGAGATCAGTTTGAAGTCCATGAAGAACACTCTTCGGCAAATTTAACCGAAGGAACAAATCAAACTGAAAATGTTGTTGACTCTCATTCTCAACAACCATGTCATGGTAGTAACCCATCTACTGGAGGAAAATCTGCAGCCAGTCGCAAGAGGATGTTTTTTAATGATGATGTCTTTGCTGTGGAATTCTCAGGCTTAGCAAAATCACTTAAAACTCTTGTTGATGCTGAAGCAGCAAATGCAGGTGCTTTGAATGCAATCCAGACTGCATATTCCAAGGAACTTGAGGCTCAAAGGCAGACTACTGAAAGAGGGGAAAATTTGTTCAATGTCTTACAAAAGTATACTGAGTTTACCCATGGTGAAATTGTGAAGGCTGCTCTTATCATAGGCCAAAATGAAGCAAAGTTGAACTTGTTCTTTACCACTCCAGAGGAGTTCAGGTCCCAGTTTATTCGTGAGGTGCTTCTGAGTGGTAAATAGGTGGTGCTGGTTGTACAGCCTTGTTGCTTCCTTTTGCTTGGGTAGTAGGCCCTTTTACTCACGATTTTCATGAAGTCAGAAAATGGTTTCCAGCCAAATTAGGAAACTGAGTTGCAGGTATCTGCAAGGAAGGTGGAAATTTTGGTGTAAATTAGTATCTATAGTATTACTGAAGCGTTGGTTCATGTTTGGCCAGAAGTACGTAATCTATTTTGGTAGTGGCATCACCCTCAGCGCTTGGATTATCTGGAAGCTCAGGAATGACTGTGTATTCAATGGGACCGTCCCTAATATGTCTACTGCTTTGAACCTTGCTAGGGATGAAGCCCATCTTTGGTGCTTGGCTGGAGCCAAGGGATTACCCCTGCTCACAGCAAGAGGTGTTGTTTAGAGTGCCTTTGGTTTTGGGTCAGGTCTCACCTTTTTGTTTTCTGGTAATTAAGTCCTGTTAGTTTATGTGGTTGTGTGTGTATTTGTGTTTGGGTCTCAGCATGACTCTTATCCTTCTATTAATACAATGATACGCAGCTCTCCTGCTTGGTCGAGAAAAAAAATATATATATATATATATATTTTTTGTTGCTGTGGACTGTTGTAAGGAAAGTGGCCACATATGGTACTGTAGCGATGGTAAAAAATATGTACTATGTCAGTGTCTTGAACTATGTATGTATGGATGTATAACGAATTAATACTTTAATAATCTTTGTCGAATACTGCTTCTATCGTAAATTATTAACACATCCAATACGTATGTTTTTTTTTCTGATTGCCATAAAAAGGGCATTTTTGTCAATAAAAGTTTATTTCCCTGTCCCTATCCCATTCTAAGCCGAATGGGAATGCGCGGACCTGGAATAAGTTTTTATAGTCGTGTTTATCACCCTGTTAATCATTGGTTTGGTTTAAAAAATTTCAAACCAGCTTAATTAAATGTGTTTTTCTCTCATAATAAATCAAAGACTACCAAATTTCAAAAACCAAATTTCGTAAACCAACCAAATAATGATGATATGACTCTAGATGAAGTGCTTGATGCTAAGACCATTATTCAATATTGTGTGAAAGCCCAGAACATCTAATATCTACTCATGGGAAGAGTTTCTGCAACTGGTAAGGTTCTCCCTTCCTAACCAAACCACAGATCTAATGGATAAATGCTTAGCTACAAGAATACTACTAATGTGTTAAGGCATGATTTCTGGACAGAACTTATGGAGGTATACTGAAATTTGATTAAATATTCTTTTTTACCATACCTTCTGGCAGCAATATTTTATATAATAATGTCATGGCATTCAAATTTTAATCCAGATTCTATTTCTCTAATTCAGGATTGAAAGATAAAATTACATCCAGTGGATTCCTGAAGAAAACCTTGTTCAATGTTGCTTACATCCGGTAGTAGGATTGCAAGATAACTTTGACTGGTGCTCCTCTGAAAAAGCTAAACGGAATCACATTTGATTTGGTTGTTATCGACTTCTCAGGCACTTGAGGTGGCATGGCGGATAGCCTTGTTAAAAGTAAGTATAAGATTGTAGCATAAATTAAAGCCGCATATATTTATACGGTGAGTATAACATATTTTGGGGCTGTTCGTGTTCTTAAATGCGGCTGATTTCAGCTAATTTAATAGTGCTATGTGAGAGAGAATAAGCTGAAGTACGGCTGATAAGTTTAAGTGAACAGGGCCAGTTTTAAAGTTTTGTGAGAGATTTTTCGAGACACGTAATATTACTCATGTGACGGGCACTAATATTTATATATATACTTGAACCTGTGTAGGTATGGAGATGCGGCGGAATTTATTCGTGGATTTATTGGCGTACGAAAGAAATGGATATCGGAGATTTCTTCCCGCCGATATAAAACATTATCTTAACCGCATCACGGAAAGGTCTGTACAGTAGAGTTTGTGAGCCTGCGATGCTGCGCTCTCTGTGACTGTTAATTTCACGAACTTTGTCTTTTCGATTAAATGTCACTTTAACGTCGGTATTTAATTTCACAGTATTATTATCTTATCGTGCAATCCGTGTATTTTTAGTACAAAAATTTACCTGTCCTGTAATAACGCACGGGCACGCTATCTAGTTTCTTCTTAATTTCCAATGAGTACAATACCTCTATATTTATAGTCCCTAATGGACTTTGTCTCAAATAACTACGAGAGATGTCCTTATAGGTTAGATTTCCCTTTCCTAAATAATCCAAACTCTAATCTCGTAATTTATTTCTATTTCTGTTTATTTTCTAATTCCTCATGGGAAGGAGGCACCGAGCCGCCGCCACTGTTGCGTCGGCGCTGGCCACGGGCGCGCCCCCTCCTGGGCCGCGGCTGGCCCATTGGCCACGGGCTGGGGAGGTGCCATGAGGCGCGTGACAGAAAGGAAAAGGTCATCTATATTTGTCAACCTTCTCCTGACGGGAACTTCACTATTAAGATTGTCGATGTTCAAGAATTTGAGTTTCACAAAGATTTCACCAAGCGTATAAAACTACAACACACTCAGGGATCTATTAACACTGCCGATGCCTTGCTATTACTATCACCTGGGAAGTGACATGTTCGCTTGCTCGTAAACGATCGTAAATTTTCAGCCGGAAACAGTGTTTTTCTCTCACACCAAACCAGCCAGCAGTAAATAATCCACGATACGATACGACCTCCCGAACAGGCTGCTTGATCATTCAGGAATTCTGATTTGTCTTTTGTGTTTATAGTGGCTTTGCAAATTTCCTCCGCAATCCACATTAAACCTTAATCACTATTTTTTGGCAGGATCCTGTTTGTGGTAGTGCACACTGTGTTTTAGCACCCTACTGGGCTCGCAAGCTAGGGAAACAAAAGCTGACGGCATTTCAAGTATGTCCTCAAAAGTGCTCTAATATTTGCTCAAACAACCATCACATTAGTCTTGTTAATTTTTGAATTTATCATATATTATCAGGTATCTCCACGGAGCGGGACACTATACCTGGAGTTGGAAGCTGCAGCCAGGAGAGTGCGGATTCAGGGAGAGTCTGTCACTGTGATGACTGGTACCCTCCTAGCCTAGTGGCTCCCTCCCCATGCACCAGAATCTGAAGGGCAAGGGTCGATGAACCTGTAGGCAATTCTAATTTTTGAATTCGTATATACAGGTTTGTTCAACCGTATTTGTTTATGGAAATCAAAGTTCCTGAACTTTCTATGGAGCTTTAAATAAAGTTACAGTTTGTAATATCATACAGACATAAATTACCAGCTCCCTTTGGGTTATCATTTCTCAATGTACCATAGCCGGGAGTTGTGGAGTACAGTAAATATGACCTTTGTTCAAGTTTCCTGTCATGTTTGGAAACGCGAATGAAACAAAATATTCAGATCCTGCGGTTTAACTCGAGAACTATGCAACTCCTTGAAACAAGAGATAATTTGAACCAACCCTTTCCATTGTTTTTTAGCTTGCCTTAAGGTCGAATTTCCAGATAATCTGAGTTTTGTCACTCTTAAGTAGATTATTGATAGAGCAGCTATCCACTCAGTTGCTAAAAACAGCACATTCAGGTTCGCCCAAACGTAAAAGGACGTGCAAGTTTTGACCCTTTTGATGGTTGCATTTCGCAGCATAAGGATTTGTTCAACCAGATGCCTGAACTGCATTGTGAAGTAGCTGTTCGTTAGAGTGAGCAATGCTCGAAAATTACAGTGCAGGGGACATTGGGTAGCTGGGCCGCTGATGTTTGCAAGACTAACCTATCTACATGACTCTGTCTTCTGCCCAACCTGATAGGCAAGAATCAGGGACTCCGCAAGATTTCTCATTTGCCTGCATGAGATTTCTCAGGCGAGCAGAAGTCAACTCAGGAGTTTCGTGGAACAATGGCCAAGAACCCGTTAAGCACCATAGTTCCTGAGTAAACAATGCTACTCCCTTTGGTGCCAAATTGTAGATTATTTTAGTCTTGGTCTAAACCTGCATCTCTAGCTTTGGTCAAGTTTACAGAAAAATATACTCCTTTCATTCCAAATTATAAGTTATTTCAAGAATCTTAGAAAGTCAAAGCATCTCAAGTTTAACTAAAATTGTAGAAAAAATTACAAAGATTTTTAACATCAAATAGATATACTATAACAATATAATTAATGAAGAATTTAATGATACTTAGTTGGTATCATAAATGTTGTTATAATTATTATATAAATTTGATCAAACTTAAGATGCTTTGACTCTCCAAGATTCTTAGAATAACTTATAATTTAGATTGAGGGAGTAGCATTTATATTAATTAAATAAATACACTAACAAGACTAAGCTCTAAATCTCCCTGAGTTAAGCACCGTTACTGGATGGGTTGGCTGCAGCAACCTGTTAAGCACCGTAGTTCCCAATCCCAAGGGGACAATATTACTCCGTTCGTTCCAAATTGTAATTGTTTTAGTTTGTCCTAAGTAAAATATCTCTAATTTTGACAAGTTTATAAAAAATACACTATCAATACGTTTTCCATGGTGGATGTTGGTGCATGCCTATAAATTTGAAATAGCTAAACTTTCGTTATAGCTGGCATTCGGTAGAACACAGCAAGAGCTGATGCAACGGTAACAAACTCTTTACTCGTTGGATACAATGAAGAACTTGCGAACCTCACTAGTACGAACTCTGAACAGGCACCTGACAGCTTGTCCTGGGCACCAATGCCTTATACGCTGTGTCACAATATATCATAATCTTCAAGGAAAAATTAATTGTCTTCCGGAAACACTCCCGTCCAGGGTGTGTATGGAAAAGATGCTTGTATAAATGGCTGAATACCATCCTCTGTTCCATAATGTGTTGGATTGATATCGCCCAAGTCTTGAATCTTTGAGCTATTTAAGTGGTACACCAATCCTCGTCTCAATGTGTCACTCAAGAAGACAACCTCCTTGTAAGGGTGAAATCCAAGAAAAGTAATATAACGACGAGAGAGATGATTGCCCCTGCTTATGGTGTCAATAACATTATCATTGTCCGAGTCCCATTCGAACTTCTCCTGTACTATTGCCTCATCGTTACCATCTTCAAATTCATTGGACCAGTCCCGACTGTTAATATCTTGTAAAGTCCAGGGTCCACGCCCATCGATTCTTTGATATGGCTGAATATCACAGGAATGCTTGAATACCCACTCTGTTCTTCCACTCGATTCATCAAGAATATAAATCCAAATACTGGATGGAAAGCCATACAAAGCACAGTGCACTCCTTTCACTGTTTTTCCCAGATAAAGATCTGTGCATTCCATCCTTTCAAAATATACAGGTGGCTTGATTACTTGGTACTTTCCATTTGACAATGATATTCTACAAGAGTCAAATAATTAAGAAATATTAATAAATGACAATTGAATTTTCATTTGATTAAGAGGTACAAAGATGAAGGACAATGCCAATGAAGTGAGTATCTACCTCATAACAAACTTGGTTTGGCAATTTACATAAAGTACTCCCCGCCAATAGACAGAATTGTCCTGAACACATGAACGATCCAACCGCCTGTCAGCAACATTCCCTGCAGCCTCCCCTTCTCGAACAAACGACCTCTCCTCCCACACCTTTGTCCTTGATGAGAACACATTCAGGGTCCAAGGCGATGGTGGCCATTCTAATCCCTCCATTGCAGGGTTTAATTCATCATCAGAATTCAACATTTCATACCTCCCATAGCATCGGACCCGAGGGATCATGAATACCTCATAATGTGGTGACAATTGGGGGTCAAATACAAGGTAATCCCTGCGGAAAAAGTGCTCTATGACAATATTTGGGCTTGTGCATGGGGGCAGTGGAGCTGACTGCCGTGTGGCTGGGTTAACCACATAGTTGCAGAACAAGAGAAGCCCATTGCAGTGGCCTATGATGCGGGACCCGAGAGGCAAATAGTTAAAGTTGCCAGATACCGTTCGGCCTTTTGAGGGGCGGGAGAAGAATTCTGACATGCTTAACTCATTGAAGTTAATGAATATTCCACGCACCGAGCGTGGGAGGAGGTCCGCACACAGAAGGTTGCGGGCATCAATGATGGCACACCAGGTCTTGCAGACGCAACGGGATATAGCAACATAGCGTGGTGCAAGACGGCGAATGATGTTGGTGAGTACATCTTCAGGTAGCAGGTTTTCCATGCCCTCTGTTGTTCCAAATTGTCTTAAGACGATCACTTGTTCCTTCATATCCACACAAGCCCCATGTCTATCTGCACAGTGAAAAATAAAATCAGATTTCTCTCATCAGCAAGTAAAAAGAACGAAGTAAGCAATGTCGAGATGTACTACGGGTATTGTGGTGGAGGATTCGCTAGTGTGTTCATTAATCACCAATATGTGATCATAAAAAATTGGCAGCTGTTTATGCAGTCTCTGATACTACCGTGCTAGGGGCTCTAATCCCCTGTTTCAGATAAGTAACAGTAACAGTAACAGCATGATTTCATGATAAATCCATACTGAATACTTTCTATATGATGTGCTTCATCCAATCAAATGTAGAGAAGAGATTGTAGAATCGTGATTCAATGATCTGATCATGTTAGCCTCAAAAAATTCCATGCAGTGTCACGATGCTGATCATTGTCCCCCGACAGCAGATTGAGTGATCCAATGATCCGATCATGTTTGCCTAAGACAATTCCATGTAGTGTCGCGATGCTGATCATCATCTGTCTGTCCCAAATTATAAGTCACCCATGATCTGGGTTGTACCACGAGATGAGCAACATAGCAACAGAAGCAAGATGGAGGAGCTGGTGCATATTGTTCTGTACAAAACGGTTGCAATGGGATAGTTGGGTGATCTTCTCCTCAGCATGGCACTCCTTTTGAGTTGAACCCACATGCGGCACACAGGCCGAACTGAAAAGTTCCGGCTATGCTCATAGTAACTATGGATGTGGTCTTTTCAAAAAAAAAAAAGGAGAAGAAGTCCCGTACTCCTTACTCTCAAAAGAAAACCCGAGTCCACTACTCCTTACAAGAAAGACCGTAAAGCATAAGGGAAGAAGAAAACTGTTTACTACTTTGATTCTCTTTTATTTTACAAAGACAACTAATTTGCACTTTATAATAAATAGCATTTCTAACAAGTGTACAAGCAAAGCACATATTCAAAATTATTTGAGGTGATGGCAATTAGATATGAGTTGTTGTAATTAGTGGTGAAGGACAGAACAGGATATCAGTTTAAATTCTGAACTATCACTGATTGCACAAAAAAGACAGTTTGAGTAAATGAAGAGAACACAAATTGCCACCAAGATGAAGATGTCTGCAAAACATCTTTGTGTAGGCTGTTCTGATATGGGCCTCTGGAAGATGCTTGAGCTGCTTGTGTGGTTTGCCAATCCACGGTAAATCTACATCAGTTTCTTGCCCCATATAATTCTGGATGTTTTGCAGACATCTTCACAAAAATTGTAGTGAACATACGTATCAGCAGTCTACACTGTATATACCTGTACAGAGTAAATGTTAGCTGTTCTAATTGATCAGAAGTACACTAAGGTTACTTTGCAATTGCAGTTAATAATGCCTATAGATAAAGCATGGCAACTAATTTTAGAAATTAGGATAGGATCCTCTGACTTCTGGGGTGGAGAAACAATAGAGTACTATGTATTCAAAGGCTTCCACTCCTGCTGCACCACTGCAGAACCCAGGAGCAGAATGGTGGCACCACTGATCTCTTAGGACATTGATAACAACCACAGAAGTACTTGACAAACATCAGCAAAAATGTGAATCTTGGCCGGATCGGTTCCATTGTCTTAAGATGCTCCTGTTTCATGAAATGACAGGTGCATACTGCAGTCAATCACTCAAGGATTTTTTTAGTTGGATAGAACTAATCCAAGAAAATGTCTTAAGAGTGCCATTGGCAATGCTGCTGCTGACATATCCGCTCAAGATGTCCCTTATGTGACGAACGAAATGCAGCAACCAGATGTCAATATCAAGGGTGACAGTACCACAAATAATTGATAGAAATGCAAGCTGCTGAGTGCTGACCTAAAACTCATTAAGATACTAGTAAACATGATGACGTCTACAACGCTTATTGAGTAGATCAGCCAAAAAGAAACGGAATAAATTATTGTACATTTCGGCACTAATTTCACGATGATGTCTACATCGCTTATTGGAATCGAATGAAATCAACATCTACCGCTTCCGTTTTGGGATACCCTGAGCTTCCACACCGACCAATAGCAGAATTAAAATTAAACTTGGTAGGCGTTGGTTAAACCATCGATCGCAAAGGCCACAGCAATATCATCATCCTATATTTATGATTAATCATCTAGAGAGTAAAAAAAAGTTACCCTTGCAGCGAAGAATGTGAATTTGTGATGATCAAATGAACTCCGCGAAATCCCTCCTTTCCCCCTTCTTCCTCCTTGTGCTTCTCCTTTTCTTCTATTCCCGAGCTTCCTCTTCTCCTTCGCTAGCCTTGCTTGCTTCCGGACGGCTAGGGACAGCGACGGCGGACTAGGTCGCAAACGTCAGTAGTAGCGGCAAGGCGGACACTGTGGGCAGGCGGCGATGACCTAGTACCCGGATTCGGCTAGTGACCTAATAGCTAGCCACAGGTAGGAGGGGACGGAGCCGTCGCCACGGACGGCAAGGGTCAGCGACGGGAGACTAGGCTTTCGCCAGCAGGCGGCGGCGGCGCTGGTGGAATAAGGGGCGGCGGCGAACACGGATCGAGAATATGGCTCCGTAGTTGCCAATTGCCACCGACTCTCGTAAAATTGCCACTCTTTTTTCGCGATGATTACCCTATCATTTTGTCTTTTTCTATTTTTTTTTCTTTTCTAATTAACAGGCATGGTAATGGACCAAACTACCCATGGCCCTCTCCCACCGTCCGTTACAAGAGACCGGGGACTAGGCTTTCGCCAGCAGGCGGCGGCGGCGCTGGTGGAATAAGGGGCGGCGGCGAACATGGATCGAGAATATGGCTCCGTAGTTGCCAATTGCCACCGACTCTCGTAAAATTGCCACTCTTTTTTCGCGATGATTACCCTATCATTTTGTCTTTTTCTATTTTTTTCTTTTCTAATTAACAGGCATGGTAATGGACCAAACTACCCATGGCCCTCTCCCACCGTCCGTTACAATTAGTGCCGAAATGTACAATAATTTGTTCCGTTTCTTTTTGGCTGATCTACTCAATAAGCGATGTAGACGTCATCATGTTTACTAGTATCTTAATGAGGTTTAGGTCAGCACTCAGCAGCTTGCATTTCTATCAATTATTTGTGGTTCTGTCACCGTTGATATTGACATCTGGCTGCTGCATTTCGTTCGTCACATAAGGGACATCTTGAGCGGATATGTCAGCAGCAGCATTGCCAATGACACTCTTAAGACATTTTCTTGGATTAGTTCTATCCAACTAAAAAAATCCTTGAGTGACTGGCTGCAGTATGCACCTGTCATTTCATCAAACAATAGCATCTTAAGACAATGGAACCGATCCGGCCAAGATTCACATTTTTGCTGATGTTTGTCAAGTGCTTTTGTGGTTGTTATCAATGTCCTGAGAGGTCAGTGGTGCCACCGTTCTGCTCCTGGGTTCTGTAGCGACTGCAATGGTGCAGCAGGAGTGGAAGCCTTTGAATACATAGTACTCTATTGTTTCTCCACCCCAGAAATCAGAGGATCCTATTCTAATTTCTGAAATTAGTTGCCATGCTTTATCTGTAGGCATTATTAACTGCAATTGCAGAGTAACCTTAGTGTACTTCTGATCAATTAGAACAACTAACATTTACTCTGTACATGTATATACAATGTAGGCTGCTGATACGTATGTTCACTACAATTTTTGTGAAGATGTCTGCAAAACATCCAGAATTATATGGGGCAAGAAACTGATGTAGATTTACCGTGGATTGGCAAACCACACAAGCAGCTCAAGCATCTTCCAGAGGCCCATATCAGAACAGCCTACACAAAGATGTTTTGCAGACATCTAAATCTTGGTGGCAATTTGTGTTCTCTTCATTTACTCAATCTGTCTTTTTTTTGTTGTCAGTGATAGTTCATAATTTAAACTGATATCCCGTTCTGTCCTTCACCACTAATTACAACAACTCATATCTAATCGCCATCACCTCAAATAATTTTGAATATGTGCTTTGCTTGTACACTTATTAGAAATGCTATTTATTATAAAGTGCAAATTAGTTGTCTTTGTAAAATAATAGAGAATCAAAGTAGTAAACAGTTTTCTTCTTCCCTTATGCTTTACAGTCTTTCTTGTAAGGAGTAGTGGACTCGGGTTTTCTTTTGAGAGTAAGGAGTACGGGACTTCTTCTCCATTTTTTTTGAAAAGGCCATATAGTCTTTAACAGTTTAACAAAAGCTCACCATTAGTGGCCATGTCGTGGAGCCGTGGAGTGGAGGTGCTGCCTGGAGGCTGGAGCTTGAAGAAAGCAGAGCAGCAGTAGCAGCCGTCTAGAATCTGGATGTGCCCGCCGGCGCCGCTCCTTGCCCACTGCCCCGTCGCTGCAGGTGCAGGATCCGCCCGCCAAGGCCGCTCCCTGCGCCGCTGCGCGGTGCTCGCCTCGGCCGCGGCCCGCCGCCCCAGATGACTGCCTGCGCGCGCGCCGCTCCTATTTAATCTGCAAGCATCTCGGAATAAATCGATTTTAAGGATCTGAGAACTTGAGATTCAGAAGTCTGACTACTAAGTACTAACCATTAGCCATGGTAGATGGGAGATGGCGCTGTTGCTGTCGAAGATGAAGGGTCGACGATGGGGGCGGGTGTGGCCGTGCGGGTGCGTCTGCTGCAGTGCTGCTGTCGTGCGGAGTCCAGCGCCGGAGCCGCGGAGCGCCCTCGTCGTGTCCCGAGGCCCCGAGCCCGCCGCCCAGGCGCGGCGGCGCCCCGCCCTGCGACTCTGCGAGCAGCCGAGCACCAGCGGCGGCCGCCGTTCGAGACGGGGAGGACGGGGATGGAGAGCAGGAGAACGGGGAGGACGGGGATGGAGCAGGAGGGATGGAGAGCAGGAGAACGGGGAGGACGGGGATGGAGCAGGAGAACGGGGAGGACCGAGGACGGCGATGGGATTTGGCGGCGTGCATCGGTGCGCGCCGCGCCGCGCCGGCCGCCATTTTTTTTTTTTTTTTTTTTTGCGATTTTTCCTCCCGGTCCCAATCTGTGGTGCGCGCCTATGAGTCTGTGACCTAAACGTGAAAATATGAAGCATTTCCGTTTATGCCCTTATGTAGATAAGGTTGCACTGAGTGGACAGAGGGGTAAATTTGTGAAGAATCAAAACCAGTCCAGTTCAATAAGAACCGGCCGGTTCACCGGTTCCGTAAAAAACCGTCCGGTTTTAGCGGTTCGATTGCACGGCCGATCTTTTAAGTGAACCGAGCCGGTATAGGCTCTAGTTCGGTCTTTTAACGGTTCAACCGCTGGTCCGGTCCGGTTTTCATAACTAGGGACTCAAATGCACAAAGGTCTCTAAACTATTCCCACAATCCTATCTGGTTCATGAACTCTGAAAGTGGTCATGTAAGTTCTTCAATTTCACAAGCGGTTCAATTTCGTAATGCACAGAAAAGAAAGAAGTGGATCGACCCTATACGTATTGTATAGAGATGGAATTGGGCCAACAGCGTTTACATTACATTGCTATGGGTATAAATAGAGTTACATCAGGGTTACACAGCGCGTCCACACAGGGAGCGCGCGACGCAGGTCGCGGGCGACGTCGTGGCCACCACGCCTGACCAGTAATAAAACTGAGTGTCTCAACACCCCCCCCCCCGCAGTCTAAGGGGTGGTCGCTATGGGAACAACACATAGACTGGAGCGGAACGTCTCGAACGTCGAAGTCGGCAAGCCCTTGGTCATCACGTCGGCGTACTACTCACCGGTGGGCACGTGAAGAACGCGAAGATCACCAACCTGTGCACGTTCCCGGACGAAGTGGATGTCCAGCTCGATATGCTTGGTCCTCTTGTGGTGCACCGGGTTCGCGGACATGTAGACTGCCGAGACATTGTCGCAGGACGCGATTGTCGCCTTGGAGATGTCACAGCTACGACAGAACCGCCCAATTTATACGAGATCAAGTATGATTATCCCCGTTTAACACGTTGACGTGCACATACTTTCACTTATATAAATCCGGTAGTCCGCCGAGTGTGACGAATGACCTCGGTAAATCAACTTCACAACCAAGATCGCATGATTAAGCAAATACACATCACATACACGGAGTTTGCAGCGAAAATAATATTACAATTGAGTTCCCAAATAATAATACAAGATTGAGTTCAAAACTGATTGCTGAAAATAACATAGCTTTTAAAACAATTACAATAACATAGGTTGAAATACATTGCTAGCTCTAAATGACATCCTCCAATAATAGCATATAGATGAGAAGTAAATACGGAGTCACCGAGCCCACCGACACTTAGCCATCCCTTCAGCAGGACGAGACCTTCACCTGCAACAGGGTGGGATAAAACCTTGAGTACTCGAATGTACTCAGCTAGACTTACCTGACAGAAAAGAAATAAAAAGACTCTTAAGGATATGCAAGGTTTATTTCGTGGAGTTGGTCGGATAGCATAACTTTGAAAAAAAGAACATTACTATCATGAGTCCTTACTTTCCATCTTTTAGTCAGTATTTTAGCATCAAGTTTAGTGAAGCTTATCATAGCTAGATTTTTGCACCTATTCTATAGCAATCACTTGATTTATAAGCATCACAATAGTAACCATATCCGGTTTAGCATATAATCATCATAACCATCATATTCCATCCATTGTTACTACGATAGAAAGAAGAACAATCAAGTTTCTCTCTATCCAAAAAGAGATGGCGATTCGAATCGATTCCAACCAGCTGGGGAGTATTCCTAACACAAACCCAGGCATACCGCGAGAAGGCAGACTTAGGTCACCTTTGGTACAACTCAGGAACCAAATTCGCTGGATCGATCAGCGCTGCATCCCTCGAGACTGACGGTAGTACCAGGATGCTCAAGCTATGCCTGCCCACGGTCCCAGACCAGGTAGCTCAGGTCATGCTTGCCCACAGCCTATTTTGCCGCTCTCGCTTGGTTTGCTACTAGGCTAGACCGATTTTCGGCCTGAGTTGAGCTACTTGGCTTCGCGGTCGGAACGAGTTATCCGGCCAGCTAAGTGAGAGGCATGCGTTCAAAATGATTGATGTCCGACAACGATGCGGTCCTTAATCGACACAGACGGGATCAACATAAGTCATATCACCATCAACATATAAGATCACATCCGGTCTTCATTTATATAATATCACATGGTTCTTTTCCACGATAGCAAATATAGCCAACCGTGACCAGATATCCACCTACATCTCGCAGGTGACAGGAAATCACCCGACTTCTACCGGTCTAAGCATGGCTAAGCATAGATCGACCTACTCATCTAGTAAGGGTACATGTATTTATACATCTAGTGGACAAGGTAGGTAAAGTTATGCAGCAACGGTTTCATCCAACTCCTATTATCTAATGCATCATACAAAAGTTATACTCATGTGCATTTATGAAAACAGAGGGTAGGAGACTTAGAATGCTCTAGGGCTTACCTGGGATCCGACACAAAGTCAGCTCAGTTAGCTTGCACCGTCCTAGTGACATCTCCGGTCCTAGCACTTGCTTAGTCCTTCTATCTTCGGGATAGATCCACCAACACCATTCTTCGGGTTCAGCTCCAACATCATGCCTTCACATGGTTCATCTAGAGTACCTAGGTGAGATGCAAAATGCAAGTGTATGAATGTGGATAATAGCAATATGAAATGCATCACATAAAAGCATTCAAGACAAGCACAAGGTTATGCAAGACATAGGCACCTAGAATTATTTAACTAGACCTCACCCAAATATAACACATGGATATAGCAAGCATATCGAGCATGACACACTAGTTAATTCAAGTCAAGCTACTGCAAGCCTTCATCAATCAAGAACTAACTAATAGGTTTAGCCAAACAAGAGTAAGCTAAAGCAATTAACTTAGCATCTGTCCAGAATCTAGACAGCAACACAACAGTCACTTGTTTCAGTCATAAACAGAGATCTCGACATCTAATAAAGGTGATCTAGAATTTCTAGAAAGCTAATGAAATTATCTTCAATTCTTTTATTTACACTCAGAGCTGATTCTAAAGCTAACCAAGTCAAAACACACCAAGAAGCAGGTCTGCACAAATAATGGACAGAAAACTGATACGAACTTCAGAAATACATAACTGGAGTTCTAATCATCCAACAACTATGATTCTTAACTCTTTAGAAAGATTATTAAGTTATATATAACTTTTTTATTATCATCTTAAGATGATTATACATCTAACAAGGTCAAACATCACAAATAATATATCTCTGTCCAGATTGGGACAGAATCTGCCATTCTACTTTGAACAGCACTAACTAGAGTTCTAGACCACCAAAAGCAGTGATCTTAGACAATTTAGAAAGCTTATTAGAATAACTACAACTCTTCTATTACCACCAAAAGATTATTTCAAGGCTAACTTAGTCAAAAAGTCTTAACATTGCAGGTCTGTCTAGAACCTAGACAAAACCTGACAGGCATTTGTGAAATTCATAACTCCTAAACCATCAGGTCTATGGTCATGAAATTTTAACACAAACAAGATAAGAAAGTTAACTAAAACTTTGGTATTCATTCCATTCACATAAAACATCATTTGCATTACGAAAATAATTGCATAACCAAAACTGTACATGCAGCCCAAACAACAGAGGCATACTACATTCATCTATCACTTAGTTGTTACAAACTAACGTGTTCTAGATAAACATGCTACTCCAAACAGCTTGTAATCATATTCAAACAATCAGAGCACATAATAATAGCTATTAGAAGCATCATATGTCAATTAATACATATATCTATTAACAATTTTCATCCTCTACTTACATAATGCAACATATATATTATTTTTATCACTATATGAGAACAACTAGTTTAGAGCTGAGACTTTTATGAGTGGTAGATGTTATCAAAATATAGCTACTGTACAAATTTTACATGCTCAAGTTTTATAAATTAATTACTATAATAAAAACAATTCTTTATTGCAATAAAGCATGTGAGAGTAAGATAAATCTAAAGATCATCATTTTATATAAAAGCATGGTCATATTAAGTTTCCATAGGATACAACCACATCATGCAAATCTAGTGGAATCATATTTTCTATTTTTACACATGTATATTATTTATAAACCATTTAAAACTATTTATTAAGCCCTAAGCAAGTTAAATTAATAACTCGGTCATACATGCACCAATAAATCTAAAATTTTTACCATAGTACACACATAGCACTATTAGACTACCATAACAATTTCATAGCAATTAGAGCAACACAACTTTAGATATGGATTTAACACTAATTTACAAAGATAAATAAAAATAGCAGAAACTTTCTACTAACACATATCATATTATGACTCCACCGCATAGATCTAGTCACAAGTATTCCAAAATGTCCTCATTTGCTATTTTACAATTTTTCTATGATTTACTACGCATTTTCAAACTTGCATCCGATTTATGACTAAAAGAAAAAGGAAAAACGAAAAAGGAAAAGCACTTTTTCACTAAAGACCCTGAACTTAGCACAAATCAACCGGCAGTAAACCAGCACTGTTCGGCACTGTTCATATGAGTCACGAACTTTGCATCTGGACCCACAAAAGAGTTTCTATTTACATTTTTCTCCCTTTCTTCAACCTTCGTAGAGCAGAGCAGGCAGAGGAGGCCGTCAGGCCGGTCGGTGGAGGCTCATTCCGGCGGTGTCCCGGCTGGAGTTGATAGCTGCAAGGCCCCAACTGTCCCAACACTGGGCGCACCCATGGAGGGGCTTGGCTTGGCCGGAGCCGTGGCATGCAGGGTTGGCCGCTTGCCTGCACGGGCCGTCTGAAGCGGCATCATCGGCAGTGGCGCTGTTTCGGTGGTAGAGCGGGACACGGGCAAGGAGCGAGCAAGGGAGGGGATGGAGGAGGTCTAGGCAAGGGAGAAGCTAGGGTGAGGTCAGTGGAGCAAGGGGTGGCTGTGGTGGTGCTTCGGTCATCGGC